ACTGGATTTCAATTATTTTACCACTGTGTAGTGTTCCACCATGTACATATCCTATAATTTCTTTATCCAGACTTCAGTTGATGGACATTTGGGCTGAATCCATCTCTTAGCTATTGTGAATTGAGCTGCAATAAACATGGGTGTACAGATAATTCTTTCATATGCTGATTTTAATTCCCTTGGGTAAATTCCCAGGTGTGGGATGGCTTGGTCATATGGTAAGTCTGTATTCAGATTTCTGAGGTATCTCCAAACCGTCTTCCACAGTGGCTATACCAGTTTACATAATCACCAGCAGTGGATTAGGATATCTTTTTCCCCACATCCTCGCTGGCATTTCTTGTTTGTTGATTTCTATATGAAATCTATTCTAACTGGAGTGAGGTGAAACCTCATTTTGGTTTTGATTTGCATTTTCTAATGGCTGATGATCCTGAGCATTTTTTCATGTGTCTGTTGGCCATTTGGATTTCCTCTTTAAAAAATGCCCTTTTAAAACTGGGTTGTTTGTTGTTTTCTTGAGCTCTTTATATATTTTGGTTAATAATCCTTTATCAGCTACATAACTTGCAAGTAATTTCTCCCATTTTATCGGTTGCCTCTTCATTTTGCTGAATGTTTCTTTTGTGGTATAGAAGCTTCTTAATTTGATGTAATCCCATTTGTCAATTTTGGCTTTGATTGTCTATGCCTCTGGGATCTTTTTCAAGAACTGGTTATCCATTCTGATATCTTGCAGCATTCTCTCAATATTTTCTAATAATTTGATGGTATCAAGTCATAGATTTAGGTCTTTAATCCATTTTGAGTGGATTTTTGTGTAAGGTATAAGGTAGGGGTCTTGCTTCATACTTTGCATGTGGAGATCCAGTTTTCCTGGAACCATTTGTTGAAGAGACTGTCCTTGCTCCAAGGATTGGTTTTAGCTTCTTAGTCAAGCATAAGTTGGTTGTAGATGTGTGGATTGATTTCTGGCATTTCTATTCTGTCCATCTGTTTTTGTACCAGTACCAGACTGTTTTGATTATAACTGCTCTGTGATATGTCTTGAAATCTGGTATTGTGATGCCTCCGTGTTTGTTGTTATATAGCATTGCTTTAGCTATTCAGGTCTCTTGTGTTTCCATATGAATTTCAGCATCATTATTTTCTATATATGAAAAGAATGTTGTTATTTTGATGGGTATCGTATTGAACCTGTAAATTGCTTAGGTAGTATGGACATTTTGATGATGTTGATTCTTCCAATCCATGAACTTGAAAGATTTTTCCATTTTTTTTCCTATGTCATCTTCTGTTTCTTTCTTTAGTTTTGTGATTCTCATCATAGGGATCTTTGACATTCTTGGTTAAATTTATTACAAGGTGTTTCATTTTTTTTTTGTCGCTATTGTCAATGGGATTGATCTTCAAAGTTCTTTCTTAGCCATGGCATTGTTTGTGTATACAAAGGCTATTGATTTTTGTGTGCTGATTTTAAATAATGCCACTTTACCAAACTCTTCTATGAGTTCCAATAGTCTCTTAATGGAGTCTTTTGGATCCCCTATGTATAGAATCATGTCATCTGCAAATAGGCATAGTTTTACTTCCTCCTTCCCAGTTTGTACCCCTTTGATTTCTTTTTCTTGCCTAATGGCTCTTGCTAAAACTTCCAGGACTATATTGAATACCAGTGGTGAGAGTGGGTATTCTTGTGTGGTTTTTGCCTTTCAGTGGGAATGCATTCAACTTTTTCCCTTTCAATAGGATGCTGGCTGTGAGCTTGTCATAAATTGCTTCATTGTATTGAAGCAATATGCTATATCCAATTCTATATCCAATTTGCTTAAAATTTTCATCATGATGTACAATTTGGGACATGCTCAATCGGACTTGCTCCAAATGGTGGAGTTAGAAACGTGCCAGGGGATTCCAATACAATCCCATCAGGATGGCATGTACCAATGCCATCTCACTAGTCCAAGTGATCAATTTCAGTTCACAGTTGATCACACTGATAGGTCTAAGAGCCAAAGGGATCACATAAACAAGACTAGTGTCTGCTAATACTAACTGATAGAATCAAAAAGGGAGAGAACGATCCAACATATGGGAAGTGGGATACACAGCAGACTCATAGAGTGGCAAATGTCCTAAATAGCACTCTGGCCTCAGAATCAGCCCTTAAGGCATTTGGATCTGGCTGAAGAGCCCATGAGAGTATTTTAGGCATGGAAAGACAAGACACTCTGGCGAAGAAAAAAAAATAAAAAACCAACAACAACACACACACACACTAATGAAGATCTCTGTGAATGAGATCCCAGTGGAAAGAATGGGGCCATCAAAGAAGGGGGTACCTTACCTTTCTCTGAAGGGAGGAGAGAACTTCCACTTTGGCTATGACCCTGTCAGAATAAGATTGAAGTCGGCGAACCCAATAGGCTTCCATAGCCTTGGCAACTCATGACTAGAGCCTAGGGAGATTACTGACGCCATAAACAAGAGTGTCAAATTGTTAAGTCAACAACAGGAGTCACTGTATACTTACTCCTCATGTGGGATCTGTCCTTAATGTGTTGTGCAATGTGAAGTAATGCTATAACTAGTACTGAAACAGTATTTTACACTTTATGTTCTGTGTGGGTGCAAATTGATGAAATCTTTACTTAATATGCACTGAATCGATCTTCTGTATATAAAGATAATTGAAAATGAATCTTGATGTGAATGGAATGGGAGAGGGAGCAGGAGATGGGAGGGGTGTGAGTGGGAGGGAAGTTATGGGGGGGGGGAGCCAATGTAATCCATAAACTGTACTTTGGAAATTTATATTTGCTAAATAAAAAAAAAGAAAAAATTTTCATCATGAAAGGGTTTTATATTTTATCAGATGCTTTATCTGCATCTATTGAGATAACCATATGGTTTTTATTCTTCAGATTTTTTAAATATGTTGTATCACATTAATTAATTTGTGAAAGGAAATACCAGGGATAAATCCCACTTGGTCAGGGTGAGCAGTTTTTCTGATGTATTGATGGAGTTTGGGTTGATTCCCTCCCTTTCAATTGTTTTTACTAGCTTGAAAAGAATTGGAGTTAGTTTTTCTTTAAATGTCTGGTAGAATTCAGCAGTGAAACCATTTGATCCTGATCTTTGCTTTGATGGGAGGGACTTAATTACTGATTCAATTTCTGACTTGGTTATGTATCTGTTTAGGTTTTCTGTGTCTTCATGGCTCAATTTTTGTAGGTTGTATATGTCCAGGAATCTATCCATTTCTTCTAGGTTTCCTGATTTGGTGGTATATAGCTCTTTGTTGTAATTTCTGATGATTCTTTTTATTTCTGTGCTGTCTGCTGTTAATTTCCTTTTTCTTCTCTAATTTTATTGACTGAGGTTTTCTCCTTTTTTTTTTTTTCGGTCAGTTGGATCAATAGTGTGTTAGTTTTGTTTATTTTTTCAAAAACCAGCTCTTTGTTTTGCTGACCTTTTGTGTTTTGTTGTTTCAATTTTGTTGATTTCTTCTCTAATTTTAATTATTTCTTTTCTCCTACTATTTTTGGGTTGGTTTGCTGTCGTTTTTTTTGGGTCTTTGAAGTGCATTGATAGTTCATTTATTTGGTGCCTTTCCAATTTCTTGATTTAGGCACCAAAAACTATAAACTTTCCTCTTTTTTTTTTTTTTTTTTTTTTTTTGACAGGCAGAGTGGACAGTGAGAGAGAGAGACAGAGAGAAAGGTCTTCCTTTTGCCGTTGGTTCACCCTCCAATGGCCTCTGCAGCCAGAGCGCTGTGGCCGGCACACCGCGCTGATCCGAAGGCAGGAGTTAGGTACTTCTCTTGGTCTCCCATGGGGTGCAGGGTCCAAGCACCTGGGCCATCCTCCACTGCACTCCCTGGCCACAGCAGAGAGCTGGCCTGGAAGAGGGGCAACCGGGACAGAATCTGGCGCCCCGACCGGGACTAGAACCCAGCGTACTGGCGCCGCAAGGCGGAGGATTAGCCTAGTGAGCCGTGGCGCTGGCCCTAAACTCTCCCCTTAACACTGCTTTTTCTGTATCCCATAAGTTTTGATATGTTGTTTTGTTGTCTTCATTTGTTTCCAGAAATTTTCTGATTTCTCTTTTGAATTTTGCTATACCCATTGTTCATTTAGGAACATGTTGTTCAGTGTCCATGCATATTTATGTTCCTAAGATTCTTGAGTTGTTGATTTCTAGCTTCATTCCATTGTGGTCAGAGAAGATGCATGGTATGATTTCAGTTTTTTTTTTTTAATTTGCTGAGACTTGTTTTATGGCCTAGCATGTGGTCTATCCTTGAGAAAGTTCCATTCACTGCTGACAATGTGTGTTCTTCAAGTGTAGGATGAAAAGTTTGGTAGATATCTATTAGGTCCAATTGGTCTATAGTGTCAATTAACTCTGTTGTTTCCTTGCTGATTATCTGTCTGGTTGATCTGCCCATTGCTGAAAGTAGGGTATTAAATTACCCAATTACCATTGTATTGTAGTCTATGTCTCCTTTTATATCCATTAACATTTCTTTTATGTAGCCAGATGCCCTCTAATTAAGTGGATATACATTTATAATAGTAGTAGCTATTTGAAGGAATGAGTGAAGAACTCAGGTCATGAGAAAACAGGAAATAATGCCTTTAGATAAGTCTAAGAATGTGGCTGGAAGGGTTGGAAGTTCAGCAAGGGAGTTTCATTTAGATTCTAAAAATCTTGGCAGCCCTGAGAGGTCTGGAAAGTCAGGGAGCAGCATATCATGAATTCCAAAGCAGTACAGTGAGGTCCTGATCTGTAAAGTCGGCATGAGGAGGGGCCCCAGCAAACAATGGTTGTAAACCTGAGCTCCAAGGATAGGCTAACAGCAATCAGGAGAAACCAGAGAGTGACAGGGGAAATGCCTCTGTGGCTAGGACAGAGACGGAGATGACTTCACCTGTAGGTAGTACCAATAGTTTAACTAACTTTGCTGAGAATTCTTCTCTCATTCTTGCTCTGATTTTTTCATTTGGATGAAAAAAAGGATGAACATATGTTCCCTTAAAATTATGAACCTTATGGTGGTTTTATGCCAATGGCAGTTTGACTTTTCCTGTGTCAATATGTTACGAACTTGAAGGAAAAGAATTCCTTCATACACAGATGTTTCCAGAAAGATGAATGCAAGTGAACAGAATTACTCATACTTTTAAGAGACCATGACTTCAAGCAGCAGCTGTCAGATATTTTCTTCACAGTAAGCTTAGCATGTGTAAGTGCAATAGGTAATTTGTCTTGCTCTTTTACACCATATTATTTAAAAAAAAAAAAAGTGTTGAATCCTGCCACTCCAGGCTTACTCACATACAGATTGAACAAAACTACGTGAGTGGTATTGGCTGCTAGGATCTGGGGAAAGACCTGTTTAAGGAACTGTTTCTTTTGGATGGAATAGGGTCCAGAGTCAATCCAATTTAGAACCATGAATATGAGCAAGACACAGATCTAATGTCATTGTAACTGTAGGCTGGAGAGAGCCTTATAGTTTAGCTATACATCTTCATGGGGCTTCCAAAACACCTAAAATGTAGGATTTCCAATGATCTCAGCTATAAATTGTTCCAGATATGTAGGTCTTGTTGTTATTAGAGTTGCCAGAATAAGTATGAATTCTCTAACTTCTCTTTATTTTGGAATTATTGGCTATATTACCCTTTTTACACCAGGAAATGATATGCATCAGTGTTCACAGTGACCTTTAATAGGATACTCATCCTCCATAAGTCTCTCCTTAGGAAGACTTGCCTTCAAGTCTTTCGGAGTCTCCCTTCCTATGTAAATCTAAATCCTTTCTTTGAAATCCTCTTACTTCTTTTCCTGTTTTTATTCTTCCCTTACACTTGCAGTCTTACCTACTGTTTTTCTGCTGCCCCTCAGCTTCTACCAATGTCACATCATACTTACCATCCTTTCTTTTCTTTTCTTCTGCCCATCAAGGCTTACCAGGACTGAGTTCTAGTTCTTGAGAGATTTATTCTCAGTGAGATAATAGAATACATTTAATCCATTTACAAAAGTATGCTACTTGTCTGTTAATATTTTGATGAGACAAAGTTTAATGTTTAGGAGATACTCTGTAAGACTGGGGCAAGTGGTGATACAAATGATTGGGGGGGGGGGGCGGTCTTTAGATCGTCCTTGCATTGTACCAAGCAGGCAAACCCTCAGTGTTGGGGAGGACTTGCCTAAGTGATGCAGCATCCTTGTCATTTTCAAAGAAAGCTTCAGAGGGGATGCTGGACATCACCATTGATGGCAGGACCCCTTCTTTTATCAAAAGAAACATGATTAAGTGAATCAGGTTTAGATTAGATCAGTAACATGATTTAAAAGTAGATGTGTCCTTGCAATCAGTCAGTCTCATAGCCCGGGGCAGGCACTTGTGGTCAACTTATTCACACTGCCTTGGGATTAGCCAGCTTTGCATCCCGTTTCAGCAATAAAAAGTCTTGCAAAACTGCTGGCATGTAAGACAGAGGGATCCAGAAAGTCTTGGCATCTTTTCCAGCAGCATAGTGAGTCTTAGGGGAGAGACTTGTCAGAGCATGCTCCATGCACTGTATCACCAAGGAGAGGTCCAGATTCCTAAATGCTGAAGTGAACTTCAGTTTGGCCATACCTACAAGAAGGGACAGAAACACATTTAATCTTTGGAATGAGGGGAAACGCAGAGTGGGAGGCTAACGTGCATGTGAGGGAATTTATTTTAAATTTGCCATTATAATTGAAGTACACCATGAGGGATTTCTGTCTGTCTTGTAGAAAAGGACTTAGCAGTACTTTCTCTAGACCAGTGGCTCCCAGACTTGGGTGGGAAACAGAATCTCCTAGAGCCATGTTCAAACCCAGATTTCTGGGTTCCATTCCCAGAGTTTCTGATCTGATAGGTATGGGAAGGGGCCTAAATATTTGCATTTCTAACAAGTTTCCTGGAGAGCTGGTCCTGCTGGTCTGGACATTAAACTTGGAGTATCACTGCTTTAAAGCAACAAGGGGAACATGCTTCATCAAATGCATAAGGTCTCTAAGTCTAAGAAGTTATAGGTTTGATTCCTAATTTGTTTTAGAAAGTACAGGTACTAGGTTTGTAGGAAATGTGGGTGTGCAAATGCATTTGTGCTTGTCTGTGCATAAATGTGGAGATGAGGCCGGCTGTGGCTCAATAGGCTAATCCTCCGCCTTGCAGCGCCGGCACACCAGGTTCTAGTCCCGGTCGGGGCACCAGATTCTGTCCTGGTTGCCCCTCTTCCAGGCCAGCTCTCTGCTATGGCCTGGGAGTGCAGTGGAGGATGGCCCAAGTGCTTGGGCCCTGCACCCCATTGGAGACCAGGAGAAGCACCTGGCTCCTGCCATCGGATCAGCGCTATGCACCAGCCGCAGCACGCCGGCCGCGGCGGCCATTGGAGGGTGAACGAATGGCAAAGGAAGACCTTTCTCTTTGTCTCTCTCTCACTGTCCACTCTGCCTGTCAAAAAATAAAAAAAAAATAAAAATAAATGTGGAGAAGAGAGAATGCACTCACATACTACATTCCTCTAAAAATTCTTGAGTAAAGAGAACCAACCCCAAATGTACTGACTCACGAAGCCATGTATTTGTTTTCAGATGAATGAAGTGTTTAAGTCATGTGTTAAGATATCTTTAGAGAGGTGGGTATTTTACAAGTGGTTGGTAGTGGTTTGGAGCCCCAATCCTCCAAAAAATGGTGTTGAGAAACTGCTTATCTACATACAGAAGAATGAAATAGTACCCTTGTCTCATGCCATATAGAAAATTAATTTGAAATGAAATAATGACTTAAATATAAGGTCTGATAATGCAACTAGAAAAAAAACATAGGGAGATAAGCTTCTTGACATTGGTCTGAGACATAATTTTTTTGGATATGAGCCCAAAAGCACAGGCAACAAAAGCAAAAATGTGCAAATGGGACTGCATCAAACTAAAATGCAAAGGAAACAGTTAAAGTAGTGAGGAGATAACATAAAGAATGGGAGAAAATCTTTGCAATTCAAACATGTGATGAAGGGTTAATATAAAAAATATGTAAGAATTTCAACTCAATAGCAGAAAATAATTTGATTGAAAAATAGGAAGGCATAAAATTGCCAACACACATATGAACAAATTGCTCAGTATCACTCATAATCAAGAAAATACAAATGAAAACTGCAGTTTGACCTCATTTTTGTTACAATGACTATTATAAAAAGGCAAAAGGTAATAAGTACTGATGAAGGTGTGGAGATAGAGAAATTTTTTTACTGTTGGCAGGAATGTAAACTTGGATAGCCATTTATGGAAAATAGTACAGAAGTTCCTCAAAAAATTCAAAGTAGGGCTCAGCATTGTGGCACAGTGGACCAAGCTGCCGCTTCTGACACTGGCATCCCATGTTGAAGTGCCAGGTTGAGTCCTGGGTACTGTGCTTCATATCACACTTTCTGCTAATGTGCCTGGGAAGGCAACGAGAGATGGTCCAAGTACTTCGACCCCTGGTACTCCCATGGGAGACCCAGATGGAATTCCTGGTTCATGGCTTTGGCCTGTCACAGGCCTGGCTGTTTTGGTCATTTGAGGGAGAGAATTAGTGGCTGGAAGATCTCCATCTCACTCTTGTTACTCTGCTTTTTTAAATAAATAAATAAATCTTAAGAAAAATTCAAAGTAGATCCTCAGATGCTGTTAAAATATACCTGAGTTATGTCTTTTCAAAGGGAAAATCTGTAATTTTAGGTTTTCCTTTCAAACTCGGGCCCCCACTTAGCACAAATTGTTTAAAGAATTTAGTAAGTCTTAGTGGCTGTTTTAACTTCTATTACCACAGCCTGGGAAATGAAAACAGGTGACCTTAAACTTATGGTCTACTTTGTGAATCTGGCTAATCTGCCAGTCCTGATTTGAAAAACCATAGTAAGAACAACCAGTGTAGGAAGAGTAATTTCTAATATTCTATAGCACCATAGGGTAACTATGTTTAGCAGTTAATTATACATTTCAAAATAACTACTAGAGAGGGTGTTGAATGTTCCCAGCACAAAGAAATGATAAATGGCGGAAGTGATAGATATGTCAATTACCCTGATCGGATTATTATACGTTGCATACATGTATTGAAATATCATGCTATGCCCCATTAAACATGCACCAATTCTATGTGTCAAACAAAATTTTGAAAGTATAGTTTTAAAAAGAGCAATCAGTGTAACACTGGGCTCAGTGCCTTCTGCTATTTCTGAAACACAAAACCTGAACCAAGGACTAGGTAAAAAATAATTTGAGAGAGAAGTTGGTGTAATACATTCATAACATTGAAAAAATATCAATGTCAATATCACAAAAGAAAGCTTTTCTAAATAAGAGATTTTTCCCCCTAAAGTATTAAGTCTGAAGAGTTGAGTTCAGTCTTAGCCTGAGCCTACATCAAACCTTCAGAGTCACTAAGCCAGAAAGAGACTATTTAACAACAGTAGTCTAGGCCGGCGCCGCGGCTCAATAGGCTAATCCTCCGCCTTGCGGCGCCGGCACACCGGGTTCTAGTCCCGGTCGGGGCGCCGGATTCTGTCCCGGTTGCCCCTCTTCCAGGCCAGCCCTCTGCTGTGGCCAGGGAGTGCAGTGGAGGATGGCCCAGGTGCTTGGGCCCTGCACCCCATGGGAGACCAGGAAAAGCACCTGGCTCCTGGCTCCTGCCATCGGATCAGCGCGGTGCGCCGGCCGCAGCGCGCCGGCCGCGGCGGCCATTGGAGGGTGAACCAACGGCAAAGGAAGACCTTTCTCTCTGTCTCTCTCTCTCACTGTCCACTCTGCATGTCAAAAAAAATTAAAAAAAAATAAAAAAAATAAAAAAAGAAGAAATGGAAAGTCTGAGCAGACCAAAGACAAATAAAGAGATCAATGTAGCAATAAAGCTTTAAAGCTGAATTTACCAGCCATTCAAAGAACAAATAATAACTAATCCTTCAAAGAATAAACGAAACAGAGGAAATATTTCCAAACTCATTTTATGAAGCCTGCTACAGTGTCTCATATTGATTCATCCTGAGTTCCCATGTCTCTGCTTATCATTCGCCCCCGAAAAGTGCATGTTGCCTATTGTTTTA